TGTCCCATAGAGACTGCAAGCATAAAATAAATGATTAGATGGGAAAACATGTAAATCAAAATATGAATCTTTTTTTTTCTCTTTTAAAGGGAACAGTAGCTTTTTCTCCGGTCATTAGCAACACAGGACAGAGAGCCTGGCTGCTATTGTGGGCGCCCCAGAGCACCTGTGCCTGCAGGTGAGGGGTGCAGGAGAGTCCCGGTGTTGAGGACGACTCTAGAGGCTGCTTCCCATTGAGGAAATAAGCAGTGAAGTTTACGAAAGAGGAGGCAACACTTGAAAGCACTTAGTACATTACAATTTATAAAGTGCTGTTACAAATATTGTCTGCTTGAGTATTTACCTCATGACAACCCCAGGAGGAATATATAATTACCCACATTTTGCTGTTGAGGAAACTAGAACATAGGGGTTTGACAACTAGTCAAGGTTACCCAAATGGGACATGAGTGCCAGGATTGTATACCCTGAGGCGCAAAGTTTCTATTTTTTTCTTCTTTCTTTGTCTCCTTCTCAGGGATTTTATTTTTTAAAATTAACTTATTTTTAACTGAGATCATATTGGGGTTTCTTTTTTTTAAATTTGAGGTATATAAACTAATATATACATAAAACTAATGACATATAAACTAATATATTATTTTCAGGTTTTCAGCAGAATTCATTATTTGTATATATTGTAAAATGGTCCCACAGTAAGTCCAGTTAATATTCATTACTGCACATAGTTACAAAAATATCTTTAGTGACAAGAATGTTTCAGATCTATTCTCCAAGCAACTTTCAATAAGAATAAGCAATTGTATTCTTAACTATACACACTATACACACTATGCACGCTATACGTTTTGCTCCAATGACTTACATGTTTTATAGTTGAAAATCTACTTTTTGACCCTTCTAATGTTATGAGTCAAATTTTGCTCACTGGCTGCAGCTAGGAATATGCCAGGGGAAATGGAATCCTTGGTGTCTTGCTATGTCTACACATCCCAAAGTGTGTTTTGTTTTTAGCTGTGTGGTTCTAGGAGATGTAAATGGTTCCCTAGCTCTTTCCTTTTCTCCCATAAACACACATTCAAATTAATACAGGGCAGTAAGGGGCACCAGAACTGGCCAAGGACAGTGCCCAAATAGTATACCAGTCACTGTCTGAGTTCTCACCCACACGCACAATTGCAAGACCACTCCGGTTCAGAGAGCAACAAGAGTGAGATTCATTTAACAAACAAAGGAAAGAGTCACTGAGGCCACAAATGGCCATTTACCTCACCTGAAGCAGTGTCCAGTGTTTTAATCTTGAACACAAAGGTCCCAAGATGGCATCTTCCTACCACTGAGGGCCTGGAGCATGTAGCAGCCAGACAATAGGCAGGTTCCAACTCACAAAGACAGCAGAAGACAAAACAGGAGATGTTCACTGGAGCTGCCAAGATGTGCCAGCACAGCACCAGACAATTGACATCTAAAACAGCTGCCACAGCAGCCGAATGACCTGACAAATGGCCACACTCATACAATTCAGCGAGGTGCCTGGCTCCGGGTCTTCACCTTCCCTTCCAGGCTGTAACAGCAGCAAAGCTGGGAACAGTCTCAATTGCTCAGCTACCTGCAAAGCTATCGAACCTTTCTTTGATGTTGGCTCCCGGAGGCCTCTCTATGTCCTTCAGAGACCTGCCTTCTGGAAGAGCAACTTGGTGGGGGAAGAAATGGCTGACCTCAGAATCGCTGATGATCTGAAAACGATGAAATCCCAAATGTTGAATTCTGGGGGCTACTTCCCAGTCCTTATATTTGTTATCAGAGTCTTCATCCCAACTGATACTTTCATTGTATCGTCTGGGCCTATTCATCCTTACCAGCAACCCCCTCCAAGGGGTGCCACCTGTAACATCCTCTGCTTCAAGCCCCTGGTTACGAAATTAGTTTAATTCACTAAGTTCAATAAACTTAACTCTGCTCTTTTTGCCAAACCCCTGAGATACCTTAACAAGTCTGTGCACTATGAATCTCCAGGATTTAAGGAGGGTGACTTACTGTGTATTTGATACATTTGACCTGGGAACATTTGTGGGGAGCTAGTGTTCAATATTTTGAGGGTCTTGTAGCCAAAAGATCACCAGTTGTTCCATAGTGTCCTACTCTTCCCACAAACTAACAATATATTATCTACTGGTTTCCAATTTCAATATTCCCATGAAAGAAATAATTACAGATTTTTCACTAAAAACTTGTGCCTGGGCAGAGACCCGTCACTCTGATGCTGGTGTGCGCTGTTAATTTAGCCCTTGAACCACCACAGGTTCTTGTCCCATGAAGCTGTTAAAAGGAATTGGCAGACATTTTAGATAAGTAAGCAGAGAGAAACAAACTTTGTTGAAGAAAGTAAAGTTTATTTAAAGGAAGAAAGGACTCCCAGGTACCTGTACTTGTGAGGGGCAAGGAAACCATTGTGGGCCCATGTCTAGGGGTATTTAAATCTTTTTTCCCCCCTTCTATTCTAAAATCTCATCATTCCACTTTGCCATTGGCTCTCTCTTTCCCAGTGGCTGTACTCCTCTAGGCAGATGTGCCCATTTTCCCAGCTCTTATCTTAGAGATTACCTCTCCTGCCCAAGGTCTTATTCTCTCAAGTTTTACTGTCTTTGTTTAGTCCTCCTGGACTTTCTGACCTCAGCTCTGGAGTATATTTTGGTTAGCACTTTTTAGAATTTACTTTTCTTATCTCAGAAGCCTCTAACTCTCCCAAAGCCTCTGCCTGCACTGTCCCTAAAGCCGCCTAACTAACCCTAACTTGCCCTGGGACTCAATTCCATGTAACTCTATGTCATGGAGCACCCGGCAATACCACAAAGTCTCTCTTTGGTGTGGTATATGGGCAGCCAGCACCTGGGGGGACCAGACTCCCCAGAGTACTTGCGAGAATCTGGAAATGTTGAAAACTCCTTGTGTATTGGCAGGTCCCCTGCCCTGGATACGTGGGGTTACTGGGAGGACAGGGTGCCTCTTCATCCAGCCAGAAACTCTCCAATATGGCTGCCGATGTCACACACACTGTGTTTTGAATATCGATGCTGAAGGCGAGTATTCCCATCACTTCCAGGCATGCCCAGGAGGCTCCACGAGAGAAATCTGTGCTCACTGAACAGTGACTACCTGTCACTTCTGGGTGAGAGACCAACCAGTAAATGGAAAGCTGATAGAATTCAACCGGACTCTACTTAATGTATGAGCACTTGGTATCTTCAAAGCTGAACTGTAAAGATAAAGGGCGCGTTAACCCTGAGTCAGCAAATTATGTCCACACTTGTAAAACTTGAGGTCATTGTGCTGAGAAAAGCAAGGGGAAAAACCCTCTTCCTTTCACACTCTGCTTTTTTTGGTGCTAACAGCACCATTTGAAATCACCAAACATACTAGATATTTCTGAAACTCTCAGCTTCTTGGGCTTGAGTTGAGCAGCATTTCTCAAATGCTGTTAGTCCATTGCCTTCCTTTCATGTCAAAAATGGATATTCAGAATTATAATTGGGTAAAAACTCAATGTGGCACTAGCCCAGGGACTTGGAGACTGAGAATGCTGTAAGTTCTAACCCCTGCTGTCCTGTGCCCTCGCTCACCTGCAACCCCCACCACAGGGGCAACGCTTGGATTGGTTGTGCTGGGAGCTCCCCTGAGAGGACCACCAGGTGGAAATTTGGCCGTGGCTTTTCCACAAGTCAGCCTTGATGAGAGACAAACCTGAAAATGAAATTCTCTTCCGCAGCAATTATGAAATCCTAAACAAGTTTCTTTTTCGTCAAATAAAGCATACTTTGTCTGTGATCATGCTCTTGCCATCTAATGTCTTATGTTTTACTAAAATGGTCTTTTCAAAAACTACTACTTATTTTTTTTTTTTAAAGTTCAGTAGCAGGGCCTTGGAGCAGAGCAAAATTTTAAGCTTGGAGTCCAACAACCTGTATTCGTCGTATCTATAACAACTTGACCCTCACTCATTTGTAAAGCAGGAATAATTACCTTCAACCCTGCTCATTACTGGGCTGTTTTGAAGCTGTTCAAGACAGTGCTGTGTGTACTCCTTGTAACACCTTAAAACAGAAGGAAAGGCTGGTGTTGCTAAGGAAGGTCTCTGGGAGGTATTTTGGATGCTGAGTCCTTTACGTGTTGTTCTGGTCAAAGTTATCTTATAAATTAGAAGACTGAGTCATCTTCCTACCAGAAAGAATGTGTGTGTTTTATTCAAGATGAACCTCCATCCCGTCATCATCTCTGTTCCTATCTAGTTTTGAGAAAAATAATGTGAAAAAAAGAATTTGACTTTTCTTTGCCCTTTCTTTTTCTTGTTGGAGATTATAAAAAAATAGCATTTCCTTCATATTTTATAAACAGGTATCCTAACAAACACAAATAAAGGAAAGGGAAGCTGTCCCCATACATTTCCCTTCCATACCTGTGGGTTCCTATGAGCTGACCTTTCATGGGCAACTGTGACCCATTTGCTATCTGCAAATCACAACAGAGCACTCCTGTTTGCATACCTATGGACACTAGCCCATATCACAGGGTGGGCCCAGACACACCTAGGCCGCTGTTGATCTGATTATGTGATTATTTCCATGGTGGTCTCAAGATAACTGTCTGTGATAACATCAACACATACACTTTGCTGACACAAATATTTCTTGACATAAGGCCACAATGTTCCCTTCTCTGTTCCTAGTAAACCTTCAGTCCCCTTACCCCCTGGGCCTTATTCTTTATACCATTCCTCATTGCATTCCTCATACCCATGATCAGCTTTTACTAAACTGTATGCTTTTAATAGTGTTCCCTTAGCAATGAAAAGCTCAAGAGCAGAGTCTTGCCTTGGAAACCTGCTCCACGACTGTTGTGTGCCTCATCGCCTAAAGTTCCCTTTGAAACATATATTCCCCCCCCCATTGGTGGAACTTGGTTCTGGGTGACTGATACCTCCTTGTTTGTTGCTTCCCCTCCAGGTTGGTGGCCACACAATGCTACCCATTCGCTGGATGCCTCCGGAGAGCATCATGTACAGGAAGTTTACTACAGAGAGTGACGTCTGGAGCCTGGGGGTTGTGTTGTGGGAGATCTTCACGTATGGCAAACAGCCCTGGTACCAGCTATCAAACAATGAGGTAGGCTGCGACCAGGCCAGAACCACACCCCAAAAGCTGACACTGAGGCACATCCGTTGGCTAGAAGTCAGGACATGATCTTACATGGCTTTGTTGGGAGTGCTTCCCAAATGGCCTACTGTGTATCTAAATGTCATGGACAAGGCAAATTGCTCTCCACATTTAAGAGTTCTTACAAGGAAAGCACAGTGTTTACCGACACGCCCTCATTCTGTGGTGAAGGGATGAAGACTCACTTTGTGCTGCTCATCGAGTAAATTAATGGCAGATGTGTATCCTGCAGTCTTAGAGACATCCTAATTTTTTGTTATTGTTGGAATAAGATTTTGAGGCTCTTTCCTCCTGAACATTTCACTAAAACATTGACTCCTAGTGAAAAGCTCCAGTAATTTGTTCTCCTACTGTAATGCTTTTGCAAATATGTCTACATTTGAGGCATAGTTACTTGATCAGGTATTTCAACTCTTCTTCAGGTCCATATCTGTCTTTTTCCAATTCCATTATTCAAAATGACCACTCTTTTCTATAGCCTAGGGTTCCCTTAGCAGTGAACACCCTAACGCTGAAGCAACCTAGGTTCCACCTCAGGTTAGTGAAACTAAAACACATTCGAATTTCAGGGTGAAGTTTGGGAGATTTTTATAGAGATAAATTATTTCTCCACTACTTTGATGATATCAGTGTGTCTTGACAAATGGATATAAACCAATCAGAATAACCATGGTCTATCTTCCTGATAATAATTGCTGTCTTCCTTCTGTAAAATGTAAACACGGATAGGCTTTGCTAAGCAGCACTCTCTGCAATGCCATTTATTTTACCAGTATCCTCTTTACTCTTCTCTGATCTTACTTTGATCTCTGTCCCTTTCAGGTGATAGAATGCATCACTCAGGGTCGAGTCTTGCAACGACCTCGAACATGCCCCCAGGAGGTCTATGAGTTGATGCTGGGGTGCTGGCAGCGAGAGCCCCACATGAGGAAGAACATCAAGGGCATCCACACCCTCCTTCAGAACTTGGCCAAGGCATCTCCTGTCTATCTGGATATTCTAGGCTAAGTCCCTTTCCCCCAGACCGATCCTACCCAAGCACCTCCTCAGATGGCCAAGAGGATGAACGTCTTTTAACTGCCGCTGGATGCCACCAATCTGCTGTTCTTCACTCTGACAGTATGAACAACAAAGACACCGAGAAGCTTTCAGAGGGGAGCAATGTGTACTTCTCCATCCGTAGACACAGTATGGACTTCTTTTTGGCATTATCTCTTTCTCTCTTACCATCTCCCTTGGTTTGTACCCTGGTTTTGGTTTTCTCTTTCTTTTCTTCTTTTTTTCTGTTTGTTTCCCTGCTTCACAGTTTCTACCCTTTCTTTTTTAATCAATCTGGCTTCTGCATTACTATTAACTCTGCATAGACAAAGGCCTTAACAAACCTAATTTGTTATATCAGCAGACTCTCCAGTTTGCCCACCACAACTAACAATGCCTTGTTGTATTCCTGCCTTTGATGTGGATGAAAAAAGGGAAAACAAATCTTTGACTTAAACTTTGTCACTTCTGCTGTACAGACACCGAGAGTTTCTATGGATTCACTTCTATTTATTTATTATTATTACTGTTCTTATTGTTTTTGGATGGCTTCAGCCTGTGTATGAAAAAGGAAAACTTTGTGTTCAATCTGGGAAGCCTTTGTTTGTGGGAGATCAAAGCCAGAAAGAAAGAAGATTTACTCGAAAACCACACTATGCGAGGAACAAAGACAACCATTGGGATCAGCTGCCGTTAGTCCCTATTTAAGAAAAACTCAGAGAATGTCAACTGGGAGGAATGTATTCAGCTCCTTCCCCTGAGGACCCTTCTGAGGAGTAAAAAGACTGTTGAACTCTGCCATGAACTAGTCTCTCTTCCCATCACCAGAAACACTAGTGTGTAGTAGGGAGAAAAGATGGCTTCCTTGAGACACAAGATGGCGCATCACAGACTCGACAGGTCTTCTCTTTGAAGGTCATGGTAATAGCACTGATTTGTTTTTCCAAGTGTTATCCACTGAGCCTTTGTCAAGTTCAGTTGAAAATAGGTGGATTCTTGTCCAGAGATCATTTCAGGGTCAGGTGGGACAGCCAAGGACTTGGAAAAGATCAGACTAACTATAAATTTGGAGGCAAGTTTCTCTTACACTGAACTTTTCAGATCGCACTTCGCTCTGACACCTTCTCTCCTCCCCACCCATCCTTTTAACTGTGCAAGCAAAATTGTGCATGGTCTTCGTCAATTAATACCTTGTCTGCAGAAACTACCACTCCAGACTTCGTGCCGCTGATAGCTAGAGCAGTTCCACAAAAGGTATAACTTATATAATTAGGGGAAGCTAATGGAGTTCATTAGCTGAGTATTAATGTCTCTTGGTTGTATGGTGGTGATAGATTTTTATGATTATGGACCCTGAAGCCTGGATGTCCTCATCCACCTCCAATGCACTGTGAGAAGGGCAGGATCTATCCCTGAGGGAAAGGAAACCTCACCCTAGGACGTCACATGCATTGATGTTCAGTGTACACAGGCCACGTCCTTGCTATGGGCTCTGGTTGGGAGAGTGGTTTCATTCCATGTGTACTCCATCGTCAGTCTGCTGTTTTGTTTTCTTCACTCCAGTAAAATAAGTAAAAATAAAATATTAGGCACATCATGCCAAGGGGAGGCTATGCCCAGACCAAGCTTCTGAGCATAGTCAATGGTTTTGGGAAAAGAGATTGTAAATTTAAGTACAAATTTACAGTTATTTGGATGATCAGTTATACCAAGAAAGAAAAATATTTCTGTTCCTCAAGAAAACTTGCTACCCTCTGTGAGGGGAATTTTGCTAACTTGACATCTTTATAACATGAGCCAGATTGAAAAGGAGTGATTTTAATTCATCTTAGGTCATTCTATTCATATTTGTTTCTGAAGGTGCAATTGCTTTGTTTAAGTTTTGCTTGCACCCTTAATTTCTGGAGCAACTTATTTTCTATTACAGGCTTTGAAAGCCAGTTCTCAAAAAATCAAGTGTCAATTAACAGAGAACAAAAGGAAATCCAGTAGCATCTTTGGTCAAGTGAAGGGGGTTGGACAAGATGAATACTACAGTCCCTTCAAGTTCTGGGCTGGCCTATGAGACATGGGAGTTGAGTTATTTGTTCTCTTTGCTGGCGAAAAACAACCCCTCCAGAATATACATAATAATATAATGAAAGCCATATCTCCATGATATATACGTGCACGTATATATCCTATTAAGGACCCATGGTACTGTTAAAACACTGTGGCACTCTGAAGCAGTAAAGAAGGGGCAGATTTGTACAAAACTTTTCTAGATTCCATCAGCAATGACCTAAAAACCTACACGGGTTTGTCATTCTGCATGACCAGCCAGCTGCTCTGGAGAAAGAAGCTGCAAGTTATTTGTTTTATCTTAACAGAGAGCAAAGGAGGCAATACTCTAAGGGATCAAACTGAAGGAGGGATGTGCAGTTTTAAAGCAGGGATTTGTTGAAGGCAAATGAGAAGATGGGAGCATTCCAGTTTTGTGTTTCCCTCTGAAGGAAAAAAAAGCAAAAAAAAACAAAACAAGTTTCTTCTTACCTTCTGACAAGTCCCTCAAGGTCTTGAAATGAAAGGTTCTATGCAAGTGCAAAGTTTTATAATTACTTATATTGCCTATTATTATTTTTTCCTCTGTTGTCTCAAGAGTATGTACTGGTTTCAGAGACGTCTTGCATTGAAAGAATATCCGATAGCTTTTAAAGTAGGTAAATGACCACGAGAATATCTTAGAATATACACACTATTCCTACACCATAACCTCTTCTCATGCTTTTCTAATTTTTAGAAAAGACACATCATCATTCTAAAATCATTCTACTGCTCACAGAATATAGACTGCCATGAAAATCATTAAAAATCTACAGTAGTAGTGACAAACCTAATTCTCTAGATCAAGCTCAGCCTGACAATTGTTTCCATTTATAAATCGTTTGATAGTTTTCCAAACACTTTCCACATGTTAGCAAATTATTCCTATTTTTTTATAGGGGAGGGAATTTTGAGAATCAGAGAAATTAAATAGCATGCTAAAAATCTCCAGGCTAGCTTCTGGCACCACTGGGGCCTAATCTCAAGTATTCTGATTCTGAAGTTTGTGATTCTGTCCACTAGAGACTCTAATATACAGACATACAGTTCAGGAAAGCGAGCTACACATTCATTGAAGCAGCATATGAAGTTAGAACAAAATGAAATACATGAGATGACAAGCAGCTGAGATATTGTGATATATAGTCATAATCATAGCTTCAGCTAATCCTTGTACACTGAACCAATGCCATAATCAGGCTTATTTAGAAAATATTTTGAACTATCCTATAAAGGGTTATATCAGAATTCATATTATGCATATGTGTTCACATCAGCGCTACCTGTGGTATTTTCATGTATTTATATGTGTGTTATAAATACTTGATTTATACATATACAAACACACATTCATAGTGTGTTTGTGTGCTTATGTATAAATTTATAGGCACACAGTAATAGGGATAATTATAAGTAGGGTGCAGTATGAATAATTTGCTTAAAATTTGCTAAATAACCAAAACTTTTTAATGTCATGTTGCTGTTAGTGCTTCCATTTTCCATGTGGGTAGACTACGTCACACTTTTCAACTCTGTGCAGTACTGCATGGGTGGAAGACATATTTCAGATAATGTGCTTCCCCAACAACTGAATCAAAGCCATCCCGCTACATTGAGTCCTTTCTTTGGCTCCTTGCAAAGGAAAACGCAGACTGAAATAGATCTCCTTATGTAAAGGTCCAGGAAAGGAAAATTGATTTTTGAAATCTTTTTGCACATTTTATTATGCACATCTTGTCCCACTGTGACCCCTTGTGTTCAGAATCCAAACATTCCAGAAGGGAGCTGGACTGTTGGGAGCCCTGGGTCTTGAAGTTCAGTGGTGAGAAAGCCAAGACCCAACCTTGAGGTGAGCAACTCTTAGGAATTCCCACAGCTGAATGCGAATGCATGCACAAGAGTGGAAAATGCTGTCCTTTGCAAAGGGCCTTGACAACAACAGGACCCCCTGATCAGGAGTAGACTTGTGTTTAACTTTTCTTTTTGCAAATTGGAACTTCTATAATGCCAATGACATTAAGTTGTATAACTATTTAAATAAGTGACTGCATACACACATGCCCTCGATTATTTTGTTCTCCCTTCTTCCTCCCTTATGCGAACTTTTGTTTTCAAGGACGAGTTTTGTTCTGACCTTGTATCACTGCTACAGAATATCTCATGAGGGGAATGCCTGTGACCACTGCCCAGATGGCTAAATAAGCAGTTAAAGCAGTTTCTTCACAACCCATAAACATGGAATGCAGACACTCTGAGGTTGTGATAGCAAATGCTATTCTAAAGAATAGAGGGGTAGGAGGGATTTATATTTAAACTGACAGCACATGAAGGAATGTTTTCTGGTTGTCAGGGCTGGAATGAATCACTGCTGCTCAAGTCAAAGGATCTTGAAGATCCTTAGGTTTTGTATTTCTCCCCTTTCATTTCCTTTTACCTTTATTTATTTATTTATTTATTTATTTATTTATTTATTTATATATATATATATATATATATATCTTTTGCTCCATTCATCACAAACACAAAGCAAAGCAAAAAAATTTACACACACACACACACACATATATGTTGCAGGCAAAACACTGTGAATTTCACAACAGCAACCAAGCAACTATTTTGCCATCTTAACATACGTCTCAGGAGACGAATGGGAAAATGTGGGGATGTCATTTTTTAGTCTATGCATTCTAGGCCAGGTCTGTGTTTGTTTTCTTTCTTTGGTCCATGCATTAATTACAAAGATCCTGAGTAAAGTTTGGCTGAATGTTCAGCATACTGGAGCAAGTATAATAAGAGCTGCTAATAGCCACATGTTTAAACTGGAAGAAAAATTGGAGAATATGAAATGAAATATAAAGGCCTACATCTTGCAGCTTGCATATCTTACTATTGCTTTCAAAATGTATAAAACAGCTGGAAATGTTTTAAATACAAGGTCTTTGAATTAAATATGGATTTTCAATATATAATCCCTGGACAACTAACCAAATCATGGTGAAATGTTGCTCCCTGCGTTCATTGATCATTACCTATCACTTACAAATCTGCCTAGAGATGTGGATACTCTCTGCATTTGCTTCTGTACATGGAGAGATGTTTGTATATATCCAGGCCGTGTACACACACACCATATTTCAATATCTCTCTAAAGATATACTGCCCCTTAAATTGTGACCTGGTATTTGGAACTCTTTATCTTTTTATTTGCTTTCTTTTCCTTTTAATGTGATGTCTCTGTGCTGATACTTACCAGTTCTTGTTTTGCAATGTTTTGAGGTCCATTGCTTTACTAAGATCCATTGCATCTTGGCTGATTTCCAAGTGACACCAGAATATCAGTGTTTAAAAAACAAAAAACAGTTTTGTTTGTAAATCATGTGACCAGCTTCTCTCAACCTGACATGGAAAGTCTCTTGTACTACAGTGTATTTAATAAAAACGATGTCTTACAATAAATAACATCCTCCAAAAAGAGACACTGAAAGTGACATGATGATTACTTCAACATTGTACAGAATTTTCACAAGGCATGGTGTGCTCTTTTTTTTCTGTCTGTCTGTCTGTCTATTTTAGATATGGTCACAGCAGATGCCCACAGTGTTCACTGGGTGAAGGTGATGAGAGTAGGTGGCCTTCAGTACAATTTCCCCACAGCTCCATAATATGAAGCTTTCAACATATCTTGGATAACTGGGATATTACTCTCCAACAGAACTTTCTGCAGTGATATAAATGCACTACCCAATATGGTAGACATTAGCCACATTTGCACTTGAAATGTGGTAAATGTGATTGAAGAACTCAATTTCAATTTTTATTTCATTTGGTCAATTTACATTTGAACAATGAGATATGGCTTGTGGTTACCAGAGAGTGAGAAGAGAGAATCGACATGATACCATGATTCCTGAAAGATCAGACCTAAGAATCTACCAAAAGAAATATTGCACATGGTCGCACTGGGGCAGCATTTAGGATCAGAACTACCCAGAAACAGAAGTAACCAATCAAAAATAAAATGCCACACTCTCTTGGCCTCTCTGTTAAGCAGCATTTCTGGATTTGCAGAAATTAGGGAGAAAAAATAAGGGTGGTTTTGCAGGAGTCTTGTAGAGTCTTCCTTTCCATCAGAATGGCTTATTCAGGTTTTATTTTTCAGTAGCACAGTCATCTTTCCAGTGTCTAACCTCTTCCGCTCAACTTTCTCCAAGAGGCACAGGAGATATGGGCACAACCTTCCTGGTGGAGGTGTCAGGAACCTAAGATTTGGTCCCCAAACCAAGCTTCTCAGGAGTTTTGCCTCATGAATCCCTGTGAGTGGTGCAGATATGCTTTCCTTGAGTTAAAAAAATATGTAACTAGATTAAAACTCAGTGAAGAATTGGGGAACTCAAAACTGTATAAGGGAGGAAACAGTTTATCCAAAAATCCAAAAAGATCCTGTGTCTCCATAGGGTCAAAGTATATAGTCCATTCAAAGCAACTAGATTACTAAAGGACCAGTGTTAAACTGGGGATGACTGGTCAGCCATAACCCTGTTTGGACTACTGAAGTTCTATACTTTACCACACAACATTTTTATATTACTATCATTGGAACAAATTACAGTGGTATCAATCAAAATTCCAAACCTAAAGCTAAGTGTCCAAAGTCCTTGCCTGTTCCTCTGTAGACCCTGTCTAGCCTTCTTCCTCAAAAATACTCCTTTTATTCATTCTTTAAGGATGCCTGATTTATCGGATGAGAAGATCTCTGCGTATTGTGATTAACGACATTATTAAAACAGGCATCTACACTTGTAGAATAAATTGACTAATAAAACACATATTGTATGCCAGGGTATTTTTATGTGCCTGTGCTAGTTTTCTGTGGCTGCTGTAACAAATTACCACGAGTTGGGAGGTTTTAAATGACAGAAATTTATTATCTTACCATACTAGCGGCCAGAAGTCGGAAATTCAGGTGTTGGTAGAACAACAGTCCTTCTGAGGACTCTAGGGAAGAAGAACTTATTCCTTACCTGTAGCAGCCTCTAGTGACCCCAGATGTTCTTAGGCTGTGGCTGCATCACTCTACTTCTGCCTCCAGGTCTTCTTCTTCTATGTCCTCTGTTCTGTCTTATAAGGATACATGGATTACATTTCAGGTCCAAGAAATCAGGATAAGCTCCTCCTTTGAAAATGTTTACTGTATACATCTCTTCTTGCCCTGTAAAACAACATTCACTGGTTTCAGGGATTAGGTGGATGTATATATTTGGAGGCCATCATTCAACCCACTGCAGTATGTTAACTCACCCAACTCGTAGGTCCACCCTGGGAGGTATGTGCTATCATTATCTCCAGCTTATAGATAAAACTGAGACACTAAGGGTTATGAAATGTATACAAAATTCAGTAAAAGGAAATTGACCAGTAAACTCAGTGATAATTATACACTGGGGAGTTACTCATTTAATCCATAAACAAAGGGAGGAACTCAGGGCTTCCACTCCAGACAATGGGAGAAGTGGCCTCCATAGATAATCACTGCAGATGGGGTCTGAGTTGACCAGGTGACTTGTTGGTTGTGGTTTGGACTCCAGGTGCCTCAGCAACTGGTAGAAAACAGATCAATGGTCCTGTAGGCATGAGATTATCACTAGGAGATACTCAAGTTTAAAGGGACTAGAGAGTTCCTAGAAATTTTAACATGGGTGTGGAGGATGTTGATCATCTGGAACAAGATGAGAATCTGACCACTAAGCCAGAACCCAAAGTCAACTGAGAATTGCCATCAAGGTCTTCTCGGTGCTTTTCTGAACCCAGTGTTCCCAATTCAATCCCTCCACCTATCTGTCTGAGTGCAAGTAAACCTGAAGGTGGAGAAATCTGCCTAGCAGTGGGTTATGGAGGTTTGGAGCAATGTTACAACACCTGTCTTGTAAATAAGATCTCTGGAAATTTGGCTATTTCCTGTGGCAATTTCTTTGGTAAGGTTTCAATAGTTGAACTTATATGAGAGCTAGCCCCATCCCCCACCTGCCATTTATAGGTGGTGTTTCACAGTGAAAACAAGGTTAGAACCAATTCATCCCAACAAGCAGGATCTATTACCAAGACTACAGGTACACTATGAAGGCCGAGAAATGTTCCCTCCCTGTCCTGGCATGGAAGTCACAGACAAAGGCAGATGCAGTGATGCACCGATGGCAAGATCAGCCTGACTCTTCAAATCAGGTGACAGGAAGGGACATCAGAAGACCCAGAAAGCTCCATCGCCAAAAGCTGTGCTCTTGGCATTAGAGAATTGGGCAGATTTTTCTGCCTCCTTCCTGTAGGAATAATGGCACTTGGGCAATATCTCAATAATAACCTTCACTCTTCAGAATCAGTAATTTCACACATATATCAATATGGTCTCATGCTGATTTACTAACCCTTTGGTTTTGATTACAATATTTTAAATACCAATTAATACACAGTAAAGTCATTTCTGTATCACATGGCTACAGCCTGTGTCATCTATATGTTATCTAGATAACATCTATATATCATTAGCTGTATATGACATATAATACTTTTAGCGTATAGACTGGATTTATGTTGTACACAAACATCACTCTACACACTGATTACATAGTCAATGCCACATAGACAATGTAACAAATTTCCGATGGACAATTATATTCTTTTCTCGTATAGAGGACATGAATTTGTAGAAATGAACTCAGAAGTGGGAAATGTCACTCTATTCATTCCCTTTAAATCAGGTTACATTTGACACAAGTTCACATACTTCAGGGGCAAAATTAACTTCAGCAATTACTAAATGTACCTCCCTTTCTCAGAGTAGGGACCTATGTGTTGCTCACTGATAGCCAGGACATATGGCAAGGGGTTTGAATTTATTGTCCACCACAATCCAGAGGCACTGTTTCCAGGACTAAGGAAAGATATCCTCTGACACAATACAGCCATTCCCAAAGCACATCACTATTCGGATGCCCAACCCACTAGTTATTATGACTATTATTTCTTAGGAGGGTCACAAGGCTTTACCCCCCAACATCTGAAATTGAGTTTTAGTTTAATTTGGGTCATGAAGATTTTTATGGTTTTTTTTTTCATTTTGTTATATTTTATCAGGTATATGAATGTGTTCAGAACAAAATAGGCTTTCTTCACCTGTTAAGTCTTTCATCTTCCCTGGAAATCTCAAAGCTTTCTTTCTTAATTTGAGAAGACTCTTTACACATAGTCATATTTTTCTAACAAGATGAACATGAGGGCAGTTTTTCTCAGCTTTTGTGTTGATCTAAATTACTTGGAGCTTTTAACATTGAATAATATAGGCATCAAAGCTTCAGTCTGAAAAGATTAGTTTTTATTAGTCTGAGTTGGGGCAAAACATAGGCTTTTTTTTTTTTTTGTCCTTCAAATTATCTAGGTATTTCTAATGTGAAGTGAAGGTAAAGAAATGCTGTTATAGAGGATGATATGGCTCAACCCCAGAATTTCAACCTAGGACTTGACTAGCAGAAAATAGAGCCAAGATAAAAAAGTTTAGAACAAGAATGCTAGATGGAGCACTTGATAGATCTAAAAGCAGATCATAAGTATCCAAGGAGTTGAGGAGTGAAGTCCATGTTCTCAGAAAATAAGTTTGCTGCAAAGCTCTTAGGAAGCCAGTTATAGCCTGGTGCTTAAGGTAATCAATCAATCCTGATGACCTAAAAGGTTGGGACTCCAGCTTCCCATTATGCCAGAAGAACAGCTGGTGTTTCTCCAACTATGGGATTTGATAAGACTAGTCTTGCTGTTTGCTTGCTATAACATGCAAAACAACCGTAAGGCTTGGACCCAGCACCTAACCATGAAAACTGAGCTAGCAGGATATAGCCGGAATTGAAGTTCTGTCATATTGCTCCTTAAATCCTTGCTCCAGATCACTGCAGGGGAGGAATCTGAGGCAACTATAAAATTCCTCAGCCCCCAAATAAAGACTCCCTTTCAGGAGTCTAACTTCAATTCTGCCAAATTGCTGTGTGCAATTCCAGAGGGTATATATCCATTACTATCCCCATGAGCCTTCCTCCAAATCACATTCCAAGAAAGTCTGTTGGATGAACTATCTAGTCATTCAGCCTCATTTGCATTACAATATTGATTTTTTTTTTATTTATTCATTTTTGTGTTGGCCATTTCCTACAACTAGAACACAAGATTTATACAACCAGAGATTTTTAGTGTCTTTGGTCACTGTCTAGGATGAGTCCTGACACACAGGTGTCAGTCATTTTTGGATGGATGTTAAGGAGCTTTAGGTACAAAGTCAGGAAACTAGTATAAGGGCAAATAACTTTAAATGCAATTAAGCAAAGACATTTTTCTTCCTTACTTAGTTTCTTTCCAAGACAAAGCTCCAGAAGAAGCAAGATGACCATGAGTGAAAAAAATATGGCTAGATTTTTATTTTCAAATGGACAGTTAACATGACAGTTCCCTCTTAAAAAAAGAATTCATATCTTCCAAAGTCAGAGGTTAAGGGTCCCTTGGAGAGGTCTCCCTCCACACTTGCTGGGAATTGGGCAATTCTGCCAAAAAGAAAAGCATTAAAATAATTCTATGGCATCTTTAAGGTGATGGTTATTTTGTTCAATTCCACTTGACCAACGGACTTTTCTAAGGTGGATTTTCAAAAAGCACTTTGTAAAGTTATTTAGTACTTTCTTAGTTCAGTCACAGCACTCCTAGGGAGAAAAATGGTGCATTTCTGACTTTGGCTCTAAAGGAGTAAATATGGATCAGAACAGTTGTCCTGGATTTCTACAGAATCACATATACACAAAGATATGCGGGGAGGGGATGAGTTGTACAGGGATATCCTATGGATATCCCTGCCAGGGATCCAGTCCTAGTGGGAGGGAACTGATTTGAACACCTCCTCTTGCACCCCCTTCCACCACACACACACAGTCTATTTGCATTTCACAAAGCTTCCTTAGCAATCACTTCCTGGTGCTAAACCAACATCTGCCTCCTTGGAACTAGTGCCCAGGGTCTCAGATCTCCTGGGAGTATACAAAATAAGTCTTATTCATTATTACTTGGCATTCCTTTTTGAGTCTCTTGTGCTCTTCCTCCCACATCCATCCCCCTACAGAAAACTCTGTAATGCTTGCCAAAGAACCAGGAGAAAGGGCAATGGACCTAGCTCTGCCTGGTAAAGCTAATGCCCCAGCCCACAATTTCCTGGTTTCTCTTCAGTCTCATCAGCTCATTTCCCACTGACCTGTTGTCTGGATTTCAACTCACTCTTGGCACAAGGGTAAAGTAACTTTTTAAGGGATCAGAGAGAGAAAAAGTGAGGTATGTCTCCTCCAGCAAAAATAACTTAGCAGCGGTATCAAGACAACTGCTAGAGCTTCTCACAGCTCTCATTCCCGAGATTATCCAGAATCTCCTGGGGTGCTATTAAAAACAAGGAAAATAAGAGAGTTTGGCTATTGCATGGGATTCTGAGCTTTTCTGCCTTTGATGATAGAGGAAAAAGGTCAAAGGCATTGCTTATTTCCCTGTACAGCCCAGGGTGGGGTCTGTTGGCTAACCTAAAGATAGCCTTAATTTTATTTGTTTTTCCTAAGGAGCATCTGCTTGAACAATGATTAGGCACTGGCATTCATTAACACAGGAAGTAAAGTGTCTGAGGTTTGTGTCACTGGAAGTGTTCAAGAACAAAATAAGACACCCTCGTGGGAGGGATTTGAGAGCATTTTTCACAGTGCAAAGGTTCAATCTCGGAGAATGTCTAGTATTCAGGGGGTATGGTTGCTGAGGATTCTGTTATCTGTAGTAATGGGGTCAGTCTCTCTGCAACTGTGAGACAGGATGGACGATGCATGACACTGGCCATGTGTACGTGCCATGTGAATGAATGCCTAACAAGGGCCTGGTGGCAGCAGCATCTCAGAAAATGTTTGCTGAATAAATGAATAAATTTCTCAGGCACACAGTGAGAAGAATGCAGAACATTCTGTACACCCTTTCTAACTTCCAAAGTGCATTTACATATATTATGGCATTTTGCTTCCTATCAGTCCTAGGAGGGCTAGAACACAGACTGCCCCTCGACAACCCCACCACCACCCCTCCCCACCCACATTTTACATGTAAGGGCCTGGTCAAGGTCCCAGGACTTAGGGACAGAATCAGAATGGGAAAGCAAGTTTTGTAATTTGTGATAGAATTTTGTAACACTCAGTCATGTGACCAGCGACTTTAAGGAAAATTCTTCAATACATATTTCTCATTTATAAAACCAGGATATACAATATATCCTGTCTCTACTGCCTCTCCCCGCTTGGTTAAAAAAAAAAAAATGATGCTATTAAAAACTGTATATTTGAGCATGTTCATTAAATATATGTAAAGTGTGACACAAAGGAAAATAATAAAATGTAAAAGTCAGTCATGCCACCTTCAAATCTGCTCTTCAAGATTTCCAGCAATAGGTAATTGAATCATTATTTTAAAAAAATGCAAAACGCAGAACACGATCAGACCTGTCCCATTACTTAAGGGAGAAAATTGAAAACCTCCACAAAGAAATGATATGATATTGACTATACAGAGTAGTGGAACTCGATGTCAGACTCCAATAAAGTCAGAGATTTCGATTGTACCTAGGGGATGTTATAGCTCAACCTTGTCAGGTTCTAGATGAAGAAACTGGAAGCACAGAGGGTCATAGAGTAACGTGTAGCTGTTAGAGGCAGTGCTGAGTGTCAAGCTCAGGTTTTCTAACTCGCAGAGTCCCTAACGCTGTGGGCCTTTATTTCCTCTATCTTTGGCACCTGGCAGCCCGAAACCAGTATTTTCATTACCGTGGGCTGTGTGTTTGTGCGTGTATATGTGGTATGTCCGCAGTGTGCCCTATTTCTTCCTTCAGCCTCTTCCCCACAAAATGGAGTTCAAAACCTATACTAAAGCAGTATAAAGGGTGTGCATTTACACTTCAAATACATACAAAATAAAATTAAAGTATTTCTCCCATCCTCGCTGCATCTCAAGAGTTAAGAATGAAACACCAAACCACCTCGCTCCCTAAATTTTGGTTGTCGCTACTAATTTCCACATTCCACTTAGGAGACAAGTGGTAAACAACGAGACTGAAGATGGGAAGCAATCTGGGGAAACTATAAACAGCTCCCCATTTGTATTCCCCATGCCCCCTCCCCCACCCCTTCGCTTCAGTCTTGGCTCTTGGAACCTGCTGCCCTCTTGGGAAACAATCCGCCCTCCATCATCCTACCCACTGTCTCCGCATCCTTCTCACGTCTTTTTAAAGAGATATTTTGGGAAGCAGCACACGCACATCCAGAGACCAATTACTCAATCTCCCAGCAAGTATGGAGATGATGGAAGTATAGCCCTCCGGTCTCCTAGCAACAGTGTGTGCGGGGTGCGGGGGGGGGGGGGGGGGGAGACTGGGTAGCACGCTGGTTGCCCAGCACCACCCCTCGTAGAAGGCATTTGCGCATTTCGCTTTTGTTGTCTTTGACGGCCATTTCTAAAACGGGCTCTGTATTCTTGGGGGGATTTTAGGCACTTAAGTTATTCTTTTAAAAGATCTCTGCTGACATCCACAGGTCCTATAATTAACATCTCACAGGCCGGAAGTGTTCCATCACCCCTAAAAATACAGAGACCCACCTTGATCTTCCTCCCACGAATTTAGAGAAATGTGTCCAGTCCCCTACTTCCTCCAAGCCCGCGCTCACCTTTACACACACCTGCCTCAGGTGTGGTCCTTCAGCTCTTTCCTCTTCCCTCCTCCCTTCCTCTCTTCCTTTCTTTTTTTTTTCCAAACTGCGAACACTGCAGCCTGAAAGAATCAGGATTACAGGCACTTTATGATAGTTATCATATTTAGTTTGCTTTCTAACCTTAAAAGACTAGCTGAATCAGGTTCCCACACCTGTTGTCCCAGTGACTACACACTCCACAACTCAGCTGCACTCTCCCCCACAGTAAATGTGCTGCTGACAAAGGAAATAGGTGAAGAGTTGGAGTTAAGAGTTGATTAAATGAGCAGCTATAAAGAACTCCTCATTTGTATCCCCCATGTCCCCTCCCCCCACCTCTCAGTTAGTTAGGGACTTTTCTCACTAGACAAACACAGAATCCCAAGAAATCTGTTGAGCAGAAAGGCAATTGTTTCTATTGTTTATGAAAGAGGGCTATTTTAGGAAGAGAAATTGAGGTAGGATCACACACAGAGAGAGATGGAATTTTCCAGAACATGAAAAGAAAACTGAAAGGGTGAGAGGATTGAGGCGAGGTGGCTGAGTCTAGACCCTGGTTGATATTTCTGACCCAGGGCTCTCTGAACTTTGAAAACACTTGAGGGGGTAGAGCATTTTGAGGGCAGTCTGGAAGCAAGAAAATGCTAAAGACTAAAATGCTTGAAGGTCAAGAGGTGGGACAGAAGGGCTTTGTTGCAGAAGGACTGAAGGACTGGGAGGGGGCATTAAAGCTAGCCTTCCTTGTTAAATGAACCTCTCAGTTATTAAGATGAAAGGCTGGAATTTCTAGATATTCTTCCAAATTTATTTTCAGCCAAATGAGAGGCTATTTCTCCAAATAACAGGGAAAACCCTCCATTATCTGTCCTCTGCATGTCTGCCTTGGTTAGCTCTCCCTTGGTTCTTGAAGTTTGCACAGATACCATTTCTATCAGTCTCTTGTTTGGGGCCCATGGCTTAACCAGCCCTCCATTTCTGAGAAGTATCCTGAGGGATTGTGACCACTTTGTGTATAGATAGAACCCAAACCTGAACAATTTAGCTCCTAAAACCATGAGTAATGGCTGAAACTCTGCTGGAAAAGGACAAGAATGAGTTATCTCACTGGCTCTGGACCTGAGGATAAATTGAATGGCCCAACCTAGGAGCAGAATCAAGTATGGATTGATAGGTTGAGGGATTTTTGAGAAAGCAAAGGGATTGAGATAGAGATGGATCTGGTCAGTTTAGTGTTTATCCAAGTAGTGCTTATCCAAGTAGGATCTGGTCAGCTTAGTGTTTATTAGCAACTCCCCAGAAAGGAGAAATTGGTGAGGTGTGATGGGATAGTTATTTCTAAGCAAAATTCCAATGGTAAATCCTATAGGAAAAGTTTTGCTCTTGTGGACTTCATTCTAGTGTCTTTAATTTCTATAGCTGTGGACTATGGCAAATCAACAGGGTTTAGATACCCACTCCCCTCAAGAACACTGGAATCTCCCAGTTCCACAGAGAAGGGTAAATCAGTCAGGATTCATCTCTCTCTCCCTCTAACTCCAGCTTCATGCAGAAGGAGAGGTTAGAGCTCACACGTCCTCCAAGGGTATCCAAGTGTTTAGGTGAGAAATAGAGTCACAGCTTGTCCTCACCTAGGTAAGGACAGAGTTGGGGCTACATGTCAGGTCTGTGGACTCTAGTTCTCTGTAGACACCTGGCTCTCTTGAAGGCTAAACACCAGCAAGTACCTTCTCCCTAAAGCTATGAGCCTGATCTAAAGGACAGCATGGAGTAAGAGGAAGAACCACAAATGTTGATCAGGGAATCCAAGAAACAATAAAAAGACTTCTTCCACCATTTTGCTCAAGACCAGTTCCATATCCAATAACTTCCATGAGTTGCCTCTCAGGACTTCCCAAATTTATGGACAAATTCACTGAGTAGCAAAACATGATCTTCTAAATTGTTATTTCTGAGCCTGCTGAGGATGATTCGTTATTTCATCACTTAGCTGAAGTTCTGCTCTGACACAGGCCTTTGTCAGAAGCCCAGTTACCATGGCAGTGCCTCCAAAATAGAATGAGTCCAACACACATCAATAGACTGTAGAATAAATAGAATAAGTACTACTTACAATGCATTATTCGGTTTCTACTGGGTAGTAATTTGTTCAGAGAGTTGAAAATAACTATACCTCCCCCCTTCATTTAATTAAAGGAAAACAATTCCACAAATCAGAAATGCACAGTGTTTATATCAGTGGAACTCAAGTGGCTGTGTGATTAAGAGGCCGGATTTGTGGTTGAATTTGCTATGAGAAGTTAATGCACTAAAGCCAGGAGAATCAACTCTGACTGAAACACTCTCCCTAAGAACCCATCTTAAAGTGTGGCTTGGTTTGAGGTACAGGCTAAGTATGAACTAATAACAGCACCTAAGAAATAGCATTTTTCCCAGTGGCATGGTGAGTGTTCCTGTTTCCCTGTGTCCATCCTATTTTACTGCAATTGCCCTATGACATGGTCCAACACCATGCTTCAGCACAAAAGTTACACAGATGACTTAATGATAGGTAACTACAATGGTAAGCAAGCTATTGAGAGAACCATCTGACTCATTTTTCTGGCAGGTATTTCAATGAACATTACAAAATTTGGGCTGCTTATAGACAAATGTTTCTAGGCTGTTTTAGGACCTCTGGTTTTCTGTGCTCTCCCTGGATGGCTCTCCATCCTTCGTACAATATTATAGAGTAAGCATCTTACCCAAAAGGAGAATGCATTCCTTTGGAATCATAGAAACTTCTTGTCTTGTGCAAGTCCTTTAATTGTAATTTTATACATGATAAAGTGGGGGATAATACTCTAATTGACTTGCTGTGAAAACAGAAAGTTGTGTCGAGCCCAATGTCTGGTCTATGGTTAGGAAATGATTATTAACATCTTTTTATTTTTGCTTACAACAACGGTAGCTAACAGGATAGACTTCCCAGACATGAATTTGGGACTCAGTCAAATCTGACAGTGATAGAATTATGGGCAAGTTAATGAACCCCTGAGGCTCCCTGCCCTGACTCTTACAGATGGCCACCTTTGAAAAGATCTCACAGGTACTGTGAATAGTAACAGAGATGGCCTATGTAAGTGACCTGGGGTAGATCCTAACCCTTAGTAGAGGTTCCCTGGGAAGCAGGTGCTGGAGGGAGATCAGAATGTCATATGCTCATTAAGCTGTGTCCTTCGGATCAGTACTTGCACAAGGGAAGGAAGGAGGCAGAACTGTGAATGTGAGAGTTCTAATGTAGTTAACTTCATGCCAAGTGACCTTTCTGCCTCCTTGAGAGATGGTATTCTATCAAGGCCTCGGTACTGGCTCACATAATCTGCAGGTCAGCTATTCAGTGAAGCTAGCTGCATCAGCCGTGGGATGTTGGAATCCAAGCTGGTGACACAGTGCCTTCACTCCCAGCGCTGTGGTCGTTTTACTCACGAGCACTTTGTGCTTTTACTGGGATGTGCCTTTACTGGGACGGCTGATGACAGACACTGGCTGAGGTCAGTGGACCAAAGTGGTTTGTCTCCGGTGGTTTATTGCCTCCTTCAGAGGTGAATGCTCTCTGCAGGACTGCTAATATACTGCATCCGTTACCAAGTTTCAGTCTCCCAAGTTCAAATCTGTTATTTTAAAACAAACTTTTACTTTAGAGAGGTTTTAGATTTATAGGATATTTGTGAAGACAGTGCAGGGAATTCCCATGTACCCCTCATTTGGTACCTTATTTTAAAAAAAAAAAAAAACTAAAAATACATTTTAATTCTCTCTAAAATAAAAAAATGTTCAATATCAGATAACCAGAACTCAAAAGCTTAAAAATTAAATTACATCTCTATATTTAAGAAGTCACATTAACTAAAAAGGATGCAATTATTCCTGATATGCAGACAGGCCTGGGGATTCTGGGTTGCTTCAGTCAATTTGGAGCCCCCAACCTTCACAGCGTCCTCACCAATGCCTGCATTCTCACACAGGTCCAACAGTTGCCCCTCTTATTAACATCTACATTCATATAGTATATTTGTCACAACTAAGAAGTCAATATTAACACACTAACTTTATACAATGATATGGTGAATAATACAATACATACAATAATATGGTGAATAGATTCTTGGAAACTGAGACTTTAATCAAAACAAAACAATATGAAACTAATTTTACCATTGGCTAACTGATATAAATAAGAGTTAAGTTCCTGTGGCATATTTCTGGTCACAGAATTATCACCAAACTTCTAAATAAGAAGCCAGAAACGCTTCTAATATGACATGTGAACATGTATAGTGGTCAGAATTTTTAGCCCATATCCTCATGGGGAAAAATTTCCTTATCAAGTAAAATGCTTGTGTAAAGTTCTTCCTGCTTTTAGTCTTACAAGACTACTCATTTCCAAAATGATGTAGGACAACATGTTTCTCCTCTAAATCTATTTCTTAGACTTCAAATTGCATTGTGATAGCAGAGATAGAGCCCAGAAACATTTTCTTCTTGCCAATTGGCATGACATTAAGCTTTGCTAATAGCAGGGACAAGAGGGACACAGAAAGATTAAGGACTGCTGGTTGGATGTGCTTTTCCCCATTTGCTGCTATG